ATGCTCCAGCACAGCCACCGCATATAACTTTTAACAAGATTCACTAAAACACCCAAATTATAGTAACATTTACTATATAACCATCATTCCGCTAATAAACATCTTCTAAATAAATAAAACTAAGAAATTGAATGTGCTTTGTCAGCATGCATTTCATAATCGAGAACGACAAAAACATTTTTTTTTTCCAAAAACATAATTGTGATATATCAGAAAAGCAATAAAAAACTATGTTTTGTTTGTTATATTTCAATATTTCAGAATATTATTCAGTAAATTAACATTATCCAGCAAATTATTCTTCACTCTTTAGCCTATAAACAGCTTTATAAACCTAATAAAACTGTAGTTTAAAATGAAGTTACATTTCTGCAAAGTTGATATGACTCCTGTGGTTGAAAACAGACATTCTATATTTATTTTGCTTATTGGTAATGTTAGTGTTGCTGCTCATGCTTTTCTCTGTAAACACTGTTTTCTACACTATAACCTAGTTCTGCTCAACTGGGAGTATTACGCTGCATTAAAACAGCAATGTTATTTTTTTTTCAGGTGGCTAAGAATGTTAACCTGTTTTTTTTTTTTTAACCTCATTGAAGATTTTATTTTTGAACAAAAACACTTTACTAACAGTGCACTTCTTGTATTTTTTGCACTTTCAGACCCCTCTATTTATTGGTGTATAAATAAGAGTTTTGATTTGTATGCAAGGAGAGAGTGATTGTTATAAATAAAACAATTTGTTCAGTTCAGTGGTGTTGTAATCATTGTGTCAAAAACAGAAGTATAATAGTAAATAAATATTGGTTCTGAATATTGGTTATAGGGCACATAAACATGCAAATAATTAATATCGGTCGATCACTAATCACAAACATTCTCGATCCCAGCGCTAACCATTTAACCCAGTGCTCTTTTGTCACTCGTGTTAACTCCCATATGCGATAAGAACATAAGAACTATACAAACGAGAGGAGGCCATTCGGCCCATCAAGCTCACTTGGGGAGAACTTAACTAATAGCTCAGAGTTGTTAAAATCTTATCTAGCTCTGATTTAAAGGAACCCAAGGATTCAG